TCTCCGACTCAGATTTCCACGAAAAAAAGTTACATATTACTCACTGTTTATTAAATAAATAAAACTAAAAGTATTAAATTTAAATTTAACAATTTTTTAGGAAAACATGAAAAACAGAATAAATGAACTTCTTAGAAAATTGGATACACTGAAAAACCGACAGATCACACTCTTACTATATATTTGAGAGAAGAAGCTGTAAAATGGGCATGTATACTCAATGTTCCTGAGTGCCAAAAAGTAGCTACTTCGAAATTCAACAAGGAGCTTCAAAATTCTGTAGAAAACAGGTAAACCCGCTTTACAGCCATAATATCTAATCAGAATGTTGTTGCATTTATGCTGGTTTTGAACTATTTCATCATTAAAATTTCGAAATGCAAGCGAATTTGTAGTAAAAAATATTTTTCTTGATGCAGTAATTTGATAAGGAAGAAATGGATATACTGTAATGGTTTAAGAACTGCAAACTACACTATTTGGTACACAATGTGGCAGAAATGGAAGGCAACGTCTGATGAAAATTATTTAGAATATCTAACTTGTACTGAAAAGTATGATATTATTTGCGCCTTTTTGGGGTTAATCCTATTGGAGAATGTTCAGCCGAATGATAGCAAATGGGCAACTAGGCGTGCTAATGCATTTCTTTTTACTGTTGCCAAACATGCAAAAACAAAACAAGTGAATTTTTGTCTTATGAAAATTTTGAAAGATATTAGTTTTAGTTCAAATAGGTATTAACATTTCTTTTTAAAAATACAGGATGTCCCAATAAAATGTAAACAGATTTTATTGTCACATAAATCAACAAGTAAAATAGATAGATATTATCTGTTGTTGTGTTGGTTACTTAAAGTTACAAATGTTGAAAATGACCACCATCAGTGGCCACCAATGATGTATAACTGAGCGACATACACACTGTATTGTTTCCAAAGAAATCGCAGCACAAGCATTTTCAATTTCGTGTTTCAGGTCCCGCAGTGTTCCCGATTTTGTAGTGCATAGAGTGTTGTTTAGAGTGGCTCAAGTAAAAGTCCAGTGGTGTTAAGTCAGAAGATGTTGGATGGATATTTCGCACTTCCTCTTCAACTTATCCATCTTCCGGGGAAAATGACATCAAGAAAATTTTTCTTATCGGTTTGGTAATGTGGTTGCACATACTGCTAAAAATAACACTCTTCATTCAAGAACAGGTTATTAAGAGCTGGTATAACGTTGTCTCGTGGAATTGAAAATGCCTGTGTTGCCATTCCGCTAGAAAAAATACAGCGTGTATGTCGCTCTGTTACACATCAATAATGCATTGATGCTGATGATCACTTTGAACATTTGTAACTTGAAGGTAATCAGCACATCGATAAGACAACGTCTACCCATTTTACTTCTTAAAATGTATGGTAATAAAATGTGTACACATTTTATTGGGACATTCTGTATATCTCTGTATTTATGCAATATTTCTTAATTATTCATATGTTATAATAATTAATCATTAATATTTGCTGTATTTATAAAATTTATAATTTTTTGCTTCGCTTTTGTAGAAGAAATGATATAATTGCAACGTTAATTGTAATTATAACGCATACAAACGGTGTACATCACACAGAAGAGGTATACTATTCGAATTTTACATTAACACACTCATTTCTTGATATCTAAATATAAAGTTTTATATCCACTTATATTTGATACATATTTGACGAAAATTACCCTGTGCAGTGAAAAATTATGCTCTGTCAGACTGCAATTTCGACTAGATATTTGTATTTATTGATATTATTGAAATAATAATTGTTTTAGATAATTAAATTCGCATCGAATTATCAAATAGCTAAAGCTGTTAAAAGAAAAATAAGGAAACGAAGATTGAAGTACAGAGGCTTTATCGATAACTACTGGTACTACTTTTAGACTTACTGGTAGACTCTAATTGTAAGTGAAGCGACATAAATAACGAAACATTTGAATAAATGGAAGACAACAATTCATTTGTTGTTCACATACAATTATATATCGATAATTCTTATAATTTCTTTCGTAATATTTATCAAATAATACTCGAGAATTTAAAATTTAAAAATTTTTTTCTTAATTATTTAAATATCTTAATATTATTGTCATTTTCAATGTTATAAATTTGGAATAACGCAGATTTTTCCATTCTTTGATGTATATTATTATAGGATTACGTTATTGATCAAAACAATTATCATTCAAATAAGTACAGACATGGACGAACATTTAACAACAAAATAGTCCATTTTCCTAACAGAGTTTGATTTCGTAATACTCAAAGCTGTATTTACATCATTTTGTAAAAATTACTACTATTTACTATGTTAATCGACATAAAAATTAAGTAAATTAAATATTTTATTTCATAAATAATTAAGTCTATTGTATACAAAAAATATAGTTTTTATTTAAAAATATTATACCTACTATACCACAAATGCGTGGCAATTCAATTTTTGTACTTTATGTGTAAATTTATTTTACATTTCTTAACTTTTATTCTCGTTTATCGGAAAGTAGCGTACATACAGAGTGAGTGTTTCTTAAATACTGTTTACACGGC